AATTAATGCATCTCTAATCCTCTGCACATGTGTTTGTGTGTTCATTTCAACCCGGCACAGGAATGTCAGGGTGGGCTGGATGTTTGGATGGTCAGGATGTATTTGCAGCAGTCAGAGAAAACAGCCTTTCAGGAGAAGTTGTTGCTGAGCTCATGAGTGACACCACAGCAGATGGTGTGCGCTGGAGTCTTGGTGGAAAGGACGCCGACTGGTTCTTCTTGAATGAAAGAAACATCCGGTTGAATACAACACCTGACAAGATCCTTGACCGAGAGGTAAATGCCCTCCTAAACATTGATCTGAATGTTTCGGGATGTCATAAATATAATGCAAGGATTATGAATTTTATGTGTGCAGGCCGTTGTTTGTTGAGTCTGTTGTTGTAATAGTGTGGGGAAGTTGTAGCTAAGCTTAGACCAAACCATCAACGATGGACCCTTACAACCTCATCCTTGGACCGAGCACAATCTCTCTTAGCATCATCCACTTCCCAGCCATCTGATTTACATCAGGGGTTAGCCAGATTAGCGGTCTGTTTTTTTCTCCTCTGGTTATCATGAATTAGATAAGGTCATTGTTTTTATCATGTTGAATGAAGATATTAAATGTATCTTAATATCTGTTCTTACTTCTCTATTTTCCTGTCTCTCAGGTTCAGGGTCCTGTCCTAGTGGCTGAGTTGGTATATTGTCAGGATGATACACTTCAGGTACACTTTGTCCCATCATCTTACCCATAGGTCCTCAGTGTCTCATCCTGCATTCACATCTATATATCTTTTTCTTTCTTTTCTTTCTTTTTATTGTTGTTGCAGATTGTGTACAGGATTGTGGTGATGATTCTCAATGAGAATGATAATTCACCTGTGTTTGCAGAAGACACTGTCCAGTCTTTTGTTATCAGTGAGGTATGACACTTTCTCAAACATGAGCACAAATCTGTGTGTATCCAAAACATACAAGATTGCATTCTAAAGTGTGTCTCTGCCCATCTATCTGTTTGTTTTCCAGTTGACTCCAGTGAATACTATAGCCTTTACTGTCCATGCCACAGATGCGGATAACGACACGATCATTTACTCCATTGACCAGACATCAGTGGGTTCTGCTGTTTTACTCTTTACACTCTTAAAAAGAGACAATACATGCACACAATCACTCGATTATTCTTCATGTGCTTGTCTTGCAGCCTGATGCTGAGTACTTTAAAGTTGATTTCCCCAACACTGGAGAGGTGATTCTGTCCAAGCCTCTAGACTATGAGACTAAAACCCTGCTCACTGTCACCATTCACGCAGCAGTAAGTTATTTACATTTCATTTCTGACATACATTCAGCTACATAATCATATCCATTTCTCTGTTTCTGCTACCCTTCATGATTCCCTGACGCTCCTAACAATTACTATTAGACTAGATTAACAATACTTCAGTGTTCATGTATCCACCAATTTCTCCATCAAACATGACTGACCAGTGTAATATCCTCTAAAGATACTTGTCATTATTTCAGGAAATGAGCACTGTTGAGCACTTCAACACCAGCATCAATATCACCATTACTGTTCTGGATGGAGATGACCATTACCCACAGTTTGTGCCCTGCAACCTGCTTTTCCAGAATGAGACCAGCTGCATCTGCACCAGCCCAGTGTATACAGCTAATATCACAGAGGGGGAAGAGGTCTGTGCTTAAACCTCACCAGGCTGCTGTCCTAATATTTATTGTTACAATAAGGCACAGTGTAATGAGGATCTGATGTTTGTCATGCTGCAGGACATTGTGTTGGACTTCTTTCCCAGTCCCATTCATGCAGTGGATGGAGACAGAGGTCTCAGCTCTCCACTCAGCTATGCCATCCTCTCAGGTACCATACACACTGATAAATATTTTAAATGTGCTCTGTGTTTACATGTACATTTGTAACTGTATGTGCTCATGCCAGGAGATGATGAAGGTCGCTTCCTAATGGACAGTATGACAGGGGAGGTGAAACTAACTCGAGGGGTGGGAGACAGATTAACAACTCCAGTGCTGAATCTTCACATCATGGTAAGACACAATATTCATACTCAGTGTTAGCAGTAGGCTTGAAATATGTGTACCCCACTTTCTTACTCCAAATATCAATGTCCCTGCTTTGCCCTCTGTGTGTCTTGCACCCAGGCATACCAGGACGATGATCCCAGGAAGTACTCTGTAGCTACAGTGTTGGTCAGAGTTCTGGCAGTGAACCAGTTTTCTCCTGAGTTTGGCATGGCTGAATATCACGGCTTTGTAACTGCAGGACAGAACATCGCCTCCCTGGTCAATACCTATGGCAACAAAGTACTGATGCTACATGTACAAGACCAGGACTTTAACCACGTATGCACACGTGCTACATGTGCACATGTTCATTGCTGTTATAAATGTGTTTTGTTTAATATTACCTGTCTCCTGATTTTTCTCAACAAATTGGCAGGGTTTCAATCCCATGATCTCCTTCACCTTCAGTCCAACATCTAATCACACAGACATCTACCAGTTTGCACGGGATGGGTTTCTGATCGCCAGGGCCAATCAACTAAAGCCAAAACAGAAACACGTTCTAGAGGTGAGCCTTAGTGAAAATATATTATAATGATGCATTTGATTTAAAAGGACACTACAAATTATATAAACCGTACATTATGATAGCTTATATTACATGAAAGCTGAAGAAAAGAGTCCATCCCTTTGACCACAAGCAAAAAATAGAACATACCAGAGGCAATAATATAGAGCACTGGTTTAACAACATAACTCTGAGGTCTTGCTTTTGTGTGCAATTTTGTGTCTCAGTGACCAGCAGTGATAGAAGAATCAAAATAAAACAAAATAGTTACACTATAAATAAATATAAGCAACAGCAAATACATGTTGGTATGTATTTATATATTTCATCAAAACTTCATAATAAATAAAAAAAACATGATGATCTGATAAAATTTCAAAATACTTGGCAGGTAATGGCTATAGACCAGGAGTCTGGCGATGCAGCCTTTACTACTGTAGTAGTTGAGGTGTTAAATGACGGACAACCAGGTAGGGACACACGCTTACACATTTACTACTGATTGGTGATGGTCCTGTAAACTGAAACAAGCTCTCTATATGTGTGCATGTTTGTACACTGTAGTTCCTCATAGTCCACTGGGAGGTGACCATCTGACAGGTTGTACAGTGAGCAGGGCGTTCTTTCTGACCATGATGTTCATGACTGTAATTGGATGTATCCTGTCTACGGTGATGTGGCTGAAGAAGAAATATAAGGGGAAGAGGGACCCACTGGAGAGAGGCTGTGTGGCCCAGGGTAAACACCCCAATGTGGTAAGATTAGTTTAAATCTGTAATCTAGGTTCATATTTATCAGGATTTGTTTGTCACTGAGTTCTGAAATATTCTCTACTATATTCCCTCAGAGCTTACGATGGTTCCAACTGGTGAGCTTTTTTCTCTGTTAGCTGCTCTTCACTCTTGTCTTATTCCTTTAAAAACTATTTATACAGTATTAGTCATACACTCAATTCATTGTATGACTTCTTTGTGTAGAATATCTTAAATGTACAAACATTTATTGTGGCCAGACTGGATGAATCCTACAAATTTTGGCAATCCCCAGATATTTCCACTAGCACCACAACCAGATTGAATTTTAACTTGACCAATGTCTCAACAACTACCAAATGGATTAACACAAAAGTTAATCAACATTCATGGTTCTCAAATGATTTATCAACATGACTTTGATGATCCCCTGACCTTAGAGTTGCCAGTTTCACATATGAATAACAAAAACGTTGGCAATCCCCTGACATTTCCTACCCATTCACCACACCAATTCACCAATGGGCGAAGGGAAAAAAAAGGTGGGCGTACACTCTTGGTCTCATTTACCGTATTGACTCAATGATTTTGGTTACTCCTCAGGCAAGTCATCATACTGCCATGCCGCACATGGAGGAAGTACCCTATAACAGTGAAGAATCCTACAATCCTTCCTTCAGTTTGTCAGACGAACCTGGTGTCTACACCTACAAAGACCTTCCCTGCTGCCAGGGACCTGTTCCACTCAGAATGACTGATGCACCTGCCACAAGCTTCGTTTCCACTGAAAGTGGGTGGAGCCCTGTGATCTTCAGTAACAATGTTTTTACCCCAACCAAATGCTTCTCTAGTTCACCCACCTTTAACATAGCCACTGTGGATATGAGCCCTACATATACGGCTCAAGATGCTGCTCCACCCCAAAGAAACCTCAGCTCACTGACCCCTCCACCTGATACCACTCTGGACCCTACCAGTCCTAGCCCTGCAACCCATGACACCCCTTGTACTCCACCTTCCACCTGTCCTGATTCACAAATTACACAAACAGTCATCCAAAATGAGCCTCCTGACCCTGTCTCAAGCCCCTCCTCTCAAACCAGTCTTCCACGTAGCCAGAGTCGAATTGCTTTGGCAGAAATAGACAAACCTTTCCGCAAACCTCATGTGAAGACTCCCCCATATTCACCTTTACTGTTGTCATCAATCCCCAAGCAAATGAGCACACCCCCACCCACCCGAGAGCATTCACCTTGGAAAACCAAGTTAGTATATATAGATACTTCTCCTCTTGATGCACCACCAGTAACACCAGCACAAACAGCTATGACTCTAAGCACAGAGGCAGACCAACCCTCCACATCACTGGACCAAACAGACCCATCAGAATACCCAGGTGCTGATGCTGGTAGTCCATCACAGGACAGAGGGCCCTCGACAAACTTGAAAAACACCCAGGATGGCCACAGGGTCTGGAACGAGGATGATGATGGTTTTCTGAAAGATGAAGATGCAGACAAGAACAGTGAGGGTGAGGATGAGTTAGAGTCAGACGAAGAAGAGCTACTGAGATTGATTGCTCATTGTAATCCCATTTTTATCACATTTAGTAAGTGATGTCACTGTAATATCACAGGCAGTGACGGGGCGGATGACAGAATACGGAGGAGGTAAGATGAAGATGGATGGCAGACACATCATGGAACAAGAGAGAAACACTACAGTCTGGTTCTGCTATAGGTAATGTTGAGCCATGGGAGAGGACAGAACACTGTACATACATGCGACATGCAGTACAGGGGCCACATAAGGAAAGACACATATTCCATGATCACATAATGTATGTATGTAAGCTTAAGTAACACATTAATTATGACAAAAGATACAGTAATAGCACATAATTAGCCTAGATGACAGGAATGAGTGACCTTGAATGCACAAGGCAAAATTAAAAAACATATTTCCAAACAAACTAAACCTATTATGTATAAGTTATGACCATTTAGCCTATTCATCCAGCACAACAATACAAGTATACCAGTTCATCATGAATGAAATATATATTACCTTTGTTAATGAATAAGATGAGACTGTTCTCTCTTAAAGTGTATATCCACAAGAAATCACAAAGTGCAGGAAACAGCTGCTCCAGAATGTTTGACTTTTTAAACTCACAGTTTTGTGCCCTTTGTGTTTCCATGTAACTTTACCTGTTAAATACCTGCAAGGTACTAAGTTCAAAAGCTTCACATAGCACTGTTCGTTATTTGTATTCTACACACTAGCTCAATTTTCTTCTTTGAAAGTGAGTCAAGCTATTGTTTGACTGAAACAATGAGCCACGAGATGTTATTCAAGTAAAGCTGTAATTAGTCTTCTAAATCAGGGAGCTGGGTTCAGGTTTAAAGCTATAGGGTTTAAGTTAAGGTTAAAATTTCCCTGTCCAAATACTATGACAGGATCCATAACAACAGTCAGGGTTTCTAGAACAAGATGAGTCTACAGCCATGCATGCTTGAGGCTGTTTTTAGACACAGCTAGTGCCAGTTTGTGATTAACGAGATTAGTATCTGCATTAGTCATGGAAACATTTGAAAACTTCTCATAAGATATACCACTCTAACCAAACGGATGAAAATAGGGCTCCCAAATTCCACCAGTTTCTTGTCCGACATTACTCATAGTTACAATTTAGTAAGCATGTTAAAGATATGTGTGTGTGTGTGTGTGTGTGCGCAACAGGATTTTTTCATCTAGACCAAAAATTTTCAGGACTCTGGAAAGACTTTCATAACAGGGTCTCATATAAACAACCCTCTGCTTAAAACAAACCCATCGGTGACACTGACAAGTTTTAACGTAACAGCTTAAATCCATGACAGGTCTTTTTAAAACACATTTGTTGAAAACTACAGAAAACCTGATAGGTTATGCATTGCACAGACAAAAAGGTAAAACCAAATCAAAAGCATACAACAGACCGAAAGCTCCTGTTTTATTTGTTTTTATTAAGACATTATTCTCAATCGCAAAATCTAGACCTCACTGTTAGAGTGCTCAGTTTGCAGACCAACAACTTATTTACAGTAAAGTCACTAGTGAAAGGCTTGTTGCTGCAGTGAGCCTGTAAAAAAACATTATCCTATACATACATAAAAATTATCAACAGTGGTTATACATGGTGGCAGTGATAATACAAGCATAACATAAGGAGAAGCACATGTTCACATGTTTTTTTTTTTTAAAGAAACAGAATAAAGATTTTTGCTTTGCACACAAATGAGTTAGTAATTCAGCTGAACTACTAAGGCATTTATGTGCCAAGAAAAAACAAACCTCAAAACATATAATAAAAAAAAAAAACTGAGGAAGGCAAAGAGTCAGTCAGCAAGAATACAAGTAACATGCAGAGATTCACACAGAGGTGGTGAGAAACAAGAAAAGAGACAACTTCAAGGATAAAGCTTCCATCAGCCCATAAGTCTATACTGATTCCTTCAGCTAGTGCACAGCACAGCTTGCCCTTATGTAGGACCCACAGCTTGTGTTAACCTTGCTGCCTTAGGGGCCCACAGCATGGACTCTGATGACCCTGTATTGCACTAGTCCAAATGGTCTTCATTGTCAAACATCCTATAATCCAGCATTACCAAAGAAATGATCAATCAGCAACTAGCATTTTCTGGTTGGACCTCACTTTATAATTAGAAGAGTAGAACAAATTCTAATGGCTAGCGATCAGACTGACTCTTCACAGTCCAGTGCACTGCAAAAAGAAATAGTGCGATGAAATATTCTGTATAATGGAAGCCTAAACTTTTTGTTTTGAGGGTTTCATAAAAAAAAGAAAGAAATACTTTTCAAAAAATATATGAAAAATTGTCATTAAACACTGTTCATCTTTCACCTGGACAAAGGTAGTGTGTTGAAGCAGAGGAAATGATGGCAACATATCCCAACCGTACGCACAGCTGAGTGTGAGGACACACTTGGCCAAGCATGTACACATTACTTAAAATGTTAGTGTGTGTACAATGGGACATTCAATGAATCAAATAAATTATTGTCCATAGCGCTGGACTAGGCAAGCTCAACTTGTTTAAAATACTCCATTGAGTGTTGGAGGAGTAAGGTGGAACACACAGTCTTTGGAGGCAGGTGAATTTTAGAACTCATCGTGTCGAGTCAGAGCCTCTCCAAAGTCGGTTGCCTGGCTGCCCACGAACAAGTCGTACTTGTCTACAATTTCTGCCTTAGTCAAACGGCCATCCTGATGAAAAGAGAAAAACAAAATCAATGACAATATTTTAAACTGTTACTGAGATATGAAGATACTTCATGCTGCACGTTACAGCAAATATGAGGCAAGTCTTGTATGATCTGGACTCATGTCACTAGGTGCAGACAATATCTTTTTTCCATTTTCATTACACAGTAAATGTATCCCAAAGGACGACAATACCAGCAAGAGAAACACACATTTATGTTAAAATTTAAAAGCATTTACATGACGTACTTTGTCTGTATCTGACTCATAGACCAGATGCTTGGCCTCAGCCTCTGCGTGGTCATAGTCACTGGGCAGGATCCAGTCTCTGGTCTCATCTTTGTCCATCTTCCCATCTTTGTTTTTGTCTCTGAATTCAGAAAACTGTTCTCTCTCTGTCTTCACCCACTCTGGTTCTGTGGCATCTCCCTCTTGGTTGTACATGTCACCTAAAACAAAAACACAGGAAGAACAGACCAGGCTGTGTAAGACCTGGTGTCGATGCTCTTGAAGTTTCTTTGTACAAGTGGCCTAGCACATTAAAAAACAAGTTCATTTCATCAGGTTTCCTCAAACATTACTAATACTCTGGTTTGCCATCAAAAATAACCCCAAAATGGTGCAGTACAAACTGATAATGCTTATTTGATACTGGGCTATTATAACCCACCTATGTACTCATCCAGGTCAATTAAACCATCTCCATTCTTGTCGATGTCTTCCATAGTTTCCTACAGAAAACAAAGTAGTGCAGAGGAGTGAGAAAAGAAGCACAAGATACTGTGTTAGTGGCATCATTTAACACCTGTGTGAATAAATGCCACTTACCAGCACTACAATATCTTTCATGTGGTCATACTCCTCAGGGTGAAGAAAGGCTGTAAACTCTTCCTTGTTGGCTTTCATGTCATTGTTGTGGTCGGCCATTTTGAATCTCCTCTCATCACGGGCCATCATTTGCCTGTAGCTGAAGCCATCATCAGGGTCAGGGTCATCTGCAAGTCAAAAGTCACAACTTTGTATAACGTGCATTTAAGTGTGGAAAAGTAAATATATGCATGTCCCCATGCAGTATGTAGGTAATTATTGGGATACAGCAAATGTATAGAATGAAAACTGTCCCCATCTGTACCAAGAATGTATCCGTAGGTGGCGTTCTTGTACTCCTCCCAGGACACCACTCCATCCCCATTGAGGTCATGACTCTTCCACTGTCGATCCACATCATCGTAGATCCACCTCTTCTGAGCATGTTTGATCCACTTTTTCATCTCCTCAACTGTCACATAGCCATCCTTATCATCATCTATACGTTCAACCAGCATGCTGCAGAAAAATGACAGAAATATGGCAAACATTCAGCCTGTTTCTGCCTCACATATTATCTAGTGGTGTCTCACTTCAGATGAACTTCACTGCTCTGTGAGATTAAAACTAGGCCATCACCACAGTAATGCAAAAACACTGTTCTGCTTGGGAAGTGTATTCCCACTGTAGCTGTAAAAGAATCAGCAAAAGTATTACTATTGCCCTGATATATACCCAGTAATTCAACAAATTCACATAGTATGTGACAAGTTTTCTTACCCGAGCCTTTCCTTGCTCTCCTCTGGCGTCAGCTGGTCAAAGCTCTTAGCGTCCTCCTGTCCCAGAAAAGCTTCATGGTCATAGTCAAAGTTTTCTGTATCATCGTGTTCTCGGTTGCTGAGGGGTTCATCGTGGTGAACACGGTCCTTCTTCTCTGTGGGTTTGCTGGTGGCGTAAACCACACAGAGAGCGAAGCACATGAAAAGTGGCCTCAGCTCCATCCTATGTATGTACAAACAGCTTCTGGACAAGGGGTAAGAAAGGGAAAAATAAACAATAGTTATTGTTAAAATAGCGCATTCTGGCAGAACATTCTGTCTTGCATGCACATCTAGGTGCACTTCCCATAATGGCATCTGGACAGATTGTGTAACTGCTATTTTTGACTTAAGCTCACACAACTGCAGGGAGTGTAGAACTCAGTACAAGCATATACTCTGACTATGAGATGCAAATTGCCATCTGATGCAATCTCGTTTGGTTCCTCTTCTGGTATGTTACTTTCTAGCAGCTGACATCTCACATAGTATATCACCACAAGTGAAGCCAATAAACTAACAAATGAAAAACAAAACGCTATTCACATTTTCTCAAGATATTCTTCAACAGAATAACGTTATATTCTGAAACCATAGCCAGCAATTAAAGTTTTATCAAGGGACTATAATGCCATTGCCACTGAAAAGCGAGAGAATGCCGTAACGTTATGTGAACGGGGGAAAGCATTATTTTAACAATTTTTCGATCCTCTTACTAAAACACATTGGCGGAAAAGTTAATGTTGATGTATTTTGGCCGCTGGACAGACCTCAGGGTCTCTGCTCTCACTTTGGATTTTCTCGGCACCTTAATCACTTTAAATTGTTTATGACCGTTATTCCAATTAGCCCCCGTTACAGTCCAAATCCAATGTTAGGGACTAACATTTCACCAGCTAGCCTACTGCACCATTACCTACAGTTTCAATCGGTCCCTGAGAATACATCACGGACTAAATTAGTTTCTATGCTGTATACGTATAAATACCACGTCTAGGAGATACAGATTCAAATTATTTCAAACATTATGATATTATGAGATCTGTGAAATCTTACCGGTGACTTCAGGAAACCTCGTCGTTACAGCTTTAGACCGTCCCCCCCGGAAACACACCCATGCACTTCCTATGCTAAAACGCCAAAAGGCCAATCAGGCTTTGAAAAGGCGAGTGCGATGTCGCTCACTGATTGGTCCGCCTCAAGAGGACATCGGTGATTGGATTGGCCGAGAACCGCCACGTCCTCAAAGTCAGCACAACCCCGTTCATTCATAAAAGTGACACCAGATTCTAATAGAGATATATTCAATAGCAACACCACCAAACCAGTAGCCCACATTTTGAATTTAAATGATAAATACAACAGTAGAAATGCGTAAATTAATATTTACTTGATTTTCAGCCCGCAAAAACATAAAGTAGGATTTTGTCTGAGTGACAAACTTTTGATTTTTAAATATAAAATCCACAAAAAACCTAAAACGGTAACAAAAAGCACAAGAAGGCCACAGATTTCTTTCTTTCTTACAACTAACAATGACTTTCATTACTAATGAATCTATCCATTTATTTCCTTGATCAATCATGGCATAAAAACAACAAATGGTTATTCAAATATTTACAGAGCTACTCTGTTTCTTTTCTGTCAATTAATTATCTGTTGAATGACTAATCGATGAATTATTGCAGTTTTACCTCTTCTGCTGGTGAAATATTCATCATGATCAGTGGACACATAAATTGTTATCAGACATGTATAATGGCAGGACGTCTTGCTACCAATCTGAGGCCTGTAACTGCTCTTTTTATGGTCCCTACTATGTGGGTTTGAATGGAATGTTGTTCACTGAAAAAGCCAGTTTTCTCTTTTAAGACATATTTATATTGTGTATCAACTACTAAATTCACTGATTTTGAGGGTCAGTGAAGAAAGCAGCATTTTATGTTTCTGGAAAAAAGAGCATCATTATTGTGCATAACTTAGAGTAATAATGACATTTGTCTTTATTATTGCGTCACTCTATAAATTCAAATGACTGTGAATTGTCTATCTTCAGGGAGAGTCCTTCACAGCCTCACAAATGCAGGTGTCTACACTTGTATAGGGAGGCTATAATATAGTAAAGACTCTATATGTCATCCCACTGCTGAGTCCTCCAAGTCTGTGCTGTCCATCTTTTCTTGTGTCTCTCCCTGTTGGTTGGCATTTTCTTCTTGACTGGACTGAAAGATAGTGTCC